CCACACTAGGGCTCCTGAATGAAATTAGTCAATCACAAAAGGACAAACACTGTATGATACTAGTGTTGTAAAAAGTTAAAAATAAATAAAAGTTTTTCTCAACAAAAGAATTTATGATGGTTAGCGGGGGAGAAGGAAAAGCATTCATGCGCTACAGAGGGTAGACACATGTTAACAGAGTGCAGGAAATATACAAGAAGGAAGTTAGCAAAGGAAAGATGACAGTAAGAGATGCAGGGAGAATGCCATAGTTAAAATAAATAGAGGTAAATGCTGTTAACTGTTGGTACATGAAAGGGATTGCAACCATGTAATGAAGCAAAATATGGTTTATTAAATGTAAAACGGATGATCTGCTCTGTAAGGCTTTATTCAATTCGTAATAAAAAGTAAAATATGTATACATATTTTTTTTTTAAAAAAAGGAGGAAATGTAAGAAGTGTGAAGCTGTGGCCACCTGGTAAATCTAGTCATGCAGTTTGTCGGACATTCACCTCGGCCATCAATCTCCCAAATGCACCCTGGATTCCTGAGCACCCAAAAGTCAGTGTGATCTCTACTGATAGACTTGTACTGGGAATTACAAGATCAAAGCGGAGAGTAGAGTTTCCTAAAATGTGGGGTGAAGGAACTGGGCAGGATGTGTTACTCAGTTCAGTGAGAAAGGATTTCCTTCTCTCTTGGAGACTCTATCCCCTGTTGAATGGGGCGGACCTCCAATTTGGAGAAGGGTGCTGACAAGAAATGTGACCAATCTTTTCTCTGAAGGGAAAGTTCCTAATTTGAGTATCAAAATCAGGTGGCGGCTTTGCCTAGACCCCAGATTGGAATCTGTAATGGGGTCTCCGTGTGTGTGAAGTGAAGATGGAGGTGTGCCAGAGTCTGCCTCCTTCTCCACTTACACCCGCTCTCGACATCCAGACTCGCGCACCGGTTAACTACGCTGAACTAACACGTCCCCTTCCAGCTTGGGTGGCGCCACTCTAGCTCGATTCCTGCGCGCGCCTTTGCCCGCGCAGGCTGCCCCCCTGCTCTGTCGCTCTGCCCCAGACACCCGGCTCCGTGCCAGGCCTCTCTGCATCTCCAAGGCGCTCGCTCCCTCGCTCGGTCCCCTTGGGTCTCAGAATGCCGGGCTCCCAGGTCTTGGTGACAGTTATCTCACTTCCCTAGCGACCTCCGGAGTCCCAGGGGCCTGGTGCCCAACTCACTTGTTCTCCATGGTCTCGCCGACGCCCTCGCGATGAGCCTGCCCTTTCCTGCTCAGATCCGCGCTGCGCTCCACCGAGCTGCGGTTACCCGGTCAGGTCGACACAGCTAATGCACTGTTCACTTGACGCTGGCTTATACCCCAGCCCGGGAGTCCTCAGCCAATAGTAGCTGAGCATGCGGGACGGCCCCGTCTCCATGGTGACACACCCAGATTCAATCGCTGGAGGCTGGGTTGTAAACCTTTTCGGAAATTCTTCTTCCACTCTCTGAACCCTTTCGCCCTGGGGGCATCTAGCGTTGAAGCTTTGCAACTAATCCTGTCCGAAGGGATTTTCAGCCTGGAGGCCTATGTGGGCAGTGGGTTGGAAGCCAGAACGAGAGCCTCCAACTGTCTATCTGCAACCCCATTACAGATTCTGTCTAGTACAAACTATGAGATATTTGACAAGACTGTGTTAAACCTTAGATAGCACAACCCTTCTAGAAAACCAAAAGGGTAGAACACGGTCAGCATTCTTCCCTGTGACTGAGGTGCTACCTGACAGGAAAGCAGGGTCCACTCTAGCAACAATGCTGACCTGAAGGTTACACGGTTTTGAATCAAGGTTCAGATGGGCAGAAAAAAAAGTTTTAGGGTCAAGGATTCTTGCGCCCCAGATACAGAACAAAGGGTAGGGATGGGTAAAGGGTGTGTTATTGTTGTTATGTGCCGTGGAGTCGGTTCCGACTCATAGCGACCCTGTGCAGGCTTTCCAAGGCTGTAAATCTTTATAGGAGCAGAAAGCCGCTTCTTTCTCCCGCGAAACAGCTGGTAGATTCGAACTGCTGACTGTGAGATTAGCAGCCCGATTCGTAATAATCCTGTGATTTACGCAATACTATATAATGCACTCCATGTAATTAGAGAACTCTTTGCAAGGTGAAACATGCTTTAACAAAACCTCACAATATTCTGTCTTTGTAAGAATTCAGCTCTTTGCTCTCCGCACTTTTTGCAAGCTTAACTTCAAGTCATTGCATGTGTTGTTGTTAAGTGGCGTTAAATCGGTTGATTCTAATAGTGACCCTGCAGTTTCCGCAGAGTAGCTGGTGGATTTCAACCGTCGACTTCGAGGCTACCAGTCCAGTGCCAGCCACATCAGGACTTCATTGTTTGAATATTGGAAATTCCCCTCCCTTCCACTAAATGACGTGAATAGGGTTGATGTTATTCGAAGCGGTAACCTCGGTGATCTCACCTCCCTCTCCTTCCACCCCCGCCCCCCTTCCCAGGGGATGTTGGCCGGAAAATCCCCTCCTAGAGGGTGGAGCTGCCTCCAGGCGCCGCCTCCAAATCCTTCCTGCTGTGGAGCTAAGGGCAGCACTGCTGGGGCCCTTCCCTCCCAACCCTGCCTTTGAGTGGTTTCCTGTAGCATCTCGTTTCTCTCTATGCAGAAGGCGGAGACCTTTCTCTCAGGCCAAGGGCGACTGCCCTGGCCCCCATTGCCTGCTAGCCTCCTACTGGCGGATGATGGGCAAGTGCGGGGGCGGGTTTGGGGGGGAGGGTTGCAGGTTACTGGACTAGGTGACAAGTGACACCAGCCCTAGTGACGCTATTGCCTTGCTGCTTGCTACTGCTTTGCTGTAATTGCCCTGGAATCATTTTGGTGTCACCCACTCTTAAGGTGTTAGGGATTGCAATTCACGCACCGCCCTTCCTCTAGTGACATCACTACTCCCACTTTCCTGAACTCTAATCTTTATGGTTTGCTGTTTCTCACATCACCATGGTCCAAATCCCTGTTTTCTCACCCTGTTTCTGTCTTGCTTGTTTGTTGTTGTTGTTAAGTGCCGTCGAGTCTTACTGACTCATAGCTACCCTATATAGGGTTTCTGAGAGGCAGCTGGTGGGTTTGAAATGCCAACCTGTGGTTCACAGTCCAGTGCTGATCCTACAAATATTTACTGAGCACCAACCAGAACTGGTGTGGTGCTGTAGGTTAATGCGCCAGACTGCAAAGCTATTTGAACTTCAAGGTCCGTGGTTCAAACTCACCCGTTGCTCCTTGGAAACCCCACACAGGGTCGCTATGGTTTGGAATCGACTCGATGACACTCAACAACAACCAGAACTATTCTAGTACTAGTTGTTGTTGTTGTTAAGTGCCGTCGAGCCGGTTCTGACCCATAGCGACTCTGTACGGGGTTTCCGAGGCTGTAAATCTTTACGGGAGCAGAAAGCCTCATCTTTCTCCCGCGGAGCGGCTGGTAGTTTCGAACTGCTGGCCTTGAGGTTCGCAGCCCGATTCGTAACCACTATACTACCAGAGTAAAGATAGATGGAGCTGAGGCAGCGGAGTGGAAAGGGAAAAGAGGCAATATAAATAAAGAACAGAGTCAGTGCCAAATAAATGGTTATCTTATTATTATTGGTTTTTATTATTTTTATTTCTGTAATTATTCATCCAGCAATGGTAGCAAAAGGAACAGGATAAGCTAAAAGTAAAATTTCACCTTAGTAATGAGACAATAAATATTTGAAACACTGCAAGTATGATTTTAAACGATGAATAAAATCAGCCAAAGAAACTATCCACTAGCATGTGATTGCTGAAAGGTTTTTTAATACCCTATAGCCAACCCCACTTACCCAAAAGATATAATTAGAATATGATTATAGATAAGAAAAGTTAAAGTCTAATCAACTTAAGCAAAAGAAGTAGTCTGCAATATCAGTAAAACCTGCAAAAGCCAGAAGCTGCATAAGTAGGAGGTCTATCAGACAAAGACACCTTAAATATTTTCACTAACAGAGAGCAATAGAAAAGTGGTAAGATGCATCCAGTTAAAGGCAGAACATTTTTGAGACTCAAAAAAACAAGACAATCCTGTCCAGTTCTGGCTTCTGACTTTCATAGTCTTCACTGTGCCTACAAAAGGGAAATGGAGGGGAAGAAATCAGCCTTCATTAGTTTACTCCCAGCCTCACGTGGAACTAAGTTTGATATGCATTAACATTCCAGTTACCAAAGAAATGTACGCTTATGTGACAGAAGAGGACAGTTCACCATACCACATGCTGGCCAGGTGATATAACCTTTAGAATTGCGCAATATATTTTTCTCTGAATTCAAAATATAACTTTAGAAAAGCTGCCTCCTCAAAGTTTTGTTAAGTCCCATCAAGTTGGTACTGACTCACAGCAACCCACTATAGGGTTTCCAAAGAGCGGTTGGTAGGTTTGAACCACCAATGTTGAGGTTAGCAGCCCACTGCTTATCCTTAACACCACACCAGGACTCCTCAAAATAGAGTTGACTTTAATGAACTGGATACAGTAAAGCTTTCAGGACCTTCATTTGTTAATGTGACATGACTCAAAATGAGAGGAAACAGCTGTTAAAATCCATTAATAATTGAAATGTGGCATATACAAAGTATGAATCTAGGAAAATTCGAAGTTATCAAAATGAAAAATAGCACTATCCTAGGCATTAGTGAGCTGAAATGGACTGGTATTAGTTATATTGAATCACATAAACATGGTCTACTATGCTGGGAATGACAAATTGAAGAGGAATGGTGTCAAATTCATAGTCCAAAAGTATACTTAAAGAGCTATACTGAAGCACAATGCTGTCAGTGATAGGATAATATCCATGGGGCTCTGGTAGCGTAGTGGTTATGAATCCATGTAGCTCTGGTAGCATAGTGGTTATGAATCAGGTTGCGAACTGCAAGGTCAGCAGTTCGAAACTACCAGCGGCTCTGCCAGAGAAAGATGAGGCTTTCTGCTCCCGTAAAAGATTTACAGCCTCAAAAACCCTGTTCAGGGTCACTATGGGTCGGAACCAACTTGATGGCACTTACAACAACAACAACAACAAGGAAGACCAGTTAAAATGACTATTATTTAAATTGATGTACGAACTACTAATGCCAAAGATAAAGAAATTGATGACTTTTGCCAACTAATGTCGGAAAAAAAGCAAAAAAGAAGCAAGATGCACTGATAACTAATTACTAGTGATTTGAATGTGAAAGTTGGAAACAAAGAGGAAATATCTATAGTTGGAAAATATGGCTTTTATTATAGAAATGATGCTAGAGATCGCATGATAGAATTTTGCAACATCAATGACTTGTTCATTGCATACCTTTTTTTCAACTATATAAATAACCCCCTGTACATGTAGATCTTGCCACATGGAATGAATATACAGGAATCAAATCAACTACATTTGTGAAAAGAAGCAGTAGTGAAACTCAGTATTATAGGTGAGAACAAGGCCAGGGGCCTACTTCAAATCTCAAGTGCTCATATAAACAAGTCCAAGTTAAGGGTGAAGATAATTAAGGCAAGTAGATGAGGGTCAAAGTATGACCTTAAGCATAATTTAAGAGAGCATCTCAACAATAAATATGTGTCACACTAGGCCATGATTCTCAGTGGTTTGACAGTCACATGATAATCTCCATGGTATAATTTGATGTGATGAACACATAAAAGGATTAAGAATGGATACACCACCTCTAGTCCTATCACAACCTTGATCCAATGTAAAGGAGATTCCCAGGGGTAAGGCATGCAACATCTTTTATCTTACAAGAGATAGAAGGAGAGAGAAGTGAGCAGAGAAGAAAAACTTACTACCATCAAGAAAGAAGAGCCAGGAGCAGAGTGTGCTTTTTGGACGTGGAGTCCCTGAATTGTGAAGCTCCTAAATTCAGAGAGATTGATGTCAAGAAATGTGGAGATCTCCAAGGAATACTGGGTCTATAGATGGTGAAAGGGACAAGGGCCTTTTTCTAGAGTTGTTGTTGTTGTAATGTGCTGTGGAGTCGGTTCCGATTCATAGCGACCCTGCACAGGGTTTCCGAGGCTGTTAATCTTTACAGGAGCAGAACGCCTCATCTTTCTCCCACAGAGCAGCTGGTAGTTTTGAATTGCTGACCTTGTGGTTCGCAGCCCGATTCGTAACCACTACGCTACCAGAGCTCCTTCTAGCACTCTGAATTCGGATTTCTAGC